ATTTCATGAAGTCAAAGAATGCAATATTACCAAGCAAATATTTTACCCGAATATATGCATTTTACTGTAGTTTGTATACAAAATCATTTTTATTGTGTTTTGCTTACTTGTATGGTTACAGCTATACGTACCTTCATACCTCTGCATGCAAATCTCGTTGTACACTAATTGTGAATAATGTAAAAATAAATTTTTATATCACTCTGCTCAACGCAAACTTATAGTATTAAGTAAAATTAAGAATTAACAACAAATATGTGAAACGTTTTACTGTAAAAAAATTACACGTGTCTTTAATGAAGCTCGCATTCACGGTGAATTTATAAAAATATTAAGACGTTCCGCAACAGCAGAATTAAGCAGATTTTTAGACATTATTGTCAACATTCAAGCTCTAAAAAAAGCAAATCATTATCATTGAAAGCTGGTTTTTAATTTCTCAGCAGAACAAGCACCTAAGCCTAAATTTGGAATTTAAATACAGTATTTATTGAATAAAATTTATAATAGATAATCATTCACCTTTTTTTCGGAATAAGTCAATACTAAATGCAAGTTGCAATTTAAAAACTAATGAAATAATTTTATAAAGAGAGCATTAGGTTCGTGTGACAAGCAATAATTACTATGCAAAAAATATTAAATTTCTAAGATTTGCACTTAAATTACACCTAGGAAAAAAACCACGAGACCATTGCCTATGTTTCAGAGCCATAAATATTTCATAAACTATAAACCAATATTTTAGATCAATAAAAATATTATAACAAGCAACTAGAGAAAATCTTTTAAGCATTTATTAAGGAATCAAGCCTTCGATACGTTGTGGTGGCCGGCAGTTCTATATGCATTAAGAGATGCCAATTGCCCCCGCAATTTATATAATATTCTTGCACATTATCTGTCCGATCGACATTTGATCATTTCCTATAATGGAGGCCTGGTACATAGATATCAGACTCGAGGGTGCCCGCAGGGTTCATGTGCGAGCCCCTTTCTCTGGAATGTGACATACAATCTTATCCTTAAGCAGCCATGGCCTGAACATACAACTGTGGTTACTTATGCCGATGATACCGCATTCATAGTGCGAGGTAGGACTCGTGATCAACTTCAAGCAAACTCACAGGAGACCTGTTCTTTGTTTCAGACTAGATGTGAAGATTTTAAATTGCAAATCTCTGAAGAGAAATCGCAAATTCTGATCATTCCTAAGAAGGGTGGTTTTCTATGACTCGTCAGCCGAGAATAACCATAAATGGCAAGCGTCTTCGTATTAAACGTGAACTTAAATACCTTGGAATTATTTTCGACGACAAACTCAATTGGATTCCCCATGTGTTAGATCTCAAGAAGCGTACTGCTGTGATTGCTCAACGCCTTAAACTTATGAAGGGAATCCACTGGGGCTTAAATCCACATCTTCTTAAAGTTTTATATGCAACAGTAACTGAAAAGATTGTTTCATATGGTGCTGCAATTTGGGCAGCACCAATGCAAGGACGCAAAGTCCGACATTTAAATAGTATACAGAGACCATTTCTCTTAAATATCACTCGTGCCTTCCGCACATCACCAACTAACGCCCTCGCAGTTGCAGCTGGAGTCTTGCCTTTACCTATTGCGGTTGAAAAGGACGCAGCTTATCAGTTGATTAGACAACTTGGCTGTTCAGTTCAGTTTGGAGATCACTCTTTCTCCTCCCATGATTATGAAGCAGCAATAAACAGAGAAGATCAACACACCCCTCCCTCTATGGTACGGGAGTTAAAGTTAATCTCAAACCGAGTCATCAAGTTTCTCATGCTGATCTGGTCTTTTATACTGATGGCTCTAAATTGGAAGATCAGGTTGGCTGTGCATATATAGCCATACTGCAAGATCAGACAACTCTTCACCAGTGGAAATGCCATCTGTCTTCTTTTAACAGCGTCTCTTCCAGAGTGAGGCTATTGCTATTCGACAAGCAATACAAACAATCATTAATCATCGATATTTCACATTCCTATGTTCTTACCGATAGTCTCTCCACATTGTATGCCATTTTAAATCCTCTGCATTCATCCCCCATTATTGTGGACATTCAAACTAGCTTGTCTCGACATAAAAATCTACACATTTGTTTAGAATGGACAAAAGCTCATGTGGGGAACTACGGTAATGAAACTGTCGATAGGCTTGCTAAAGAAGCAGCACAGAATCACGAGATAACACAGACCTTGACGGTTTCACGCCCAGTATCTAATCTAAAGCGTCACTTACTTCTCACAGCCATCTCCTTGTGGCAAAATGCATGGAGTTCGGAGGAAACTGGTCGCCGAGCATTTGCCCATGTCCCTAAAGTAGATTTAGACCGATTAATCTTGCCACCACAGCTGATCTTCTACATTAACGGGCCTTTTCCCTTATATTTCGAGAGACATGGACTCTCTTCCTCAGCACTCTGTAGTTGTGGACAACTGGGCAATCCAGAACACTATCTAATCGATTGTCCACTTACTACTGAATTCCATATTCCTTTTCCACCAACGGATAGGACTGCCTTTAGTCGTTTTTTGATTAAGCAACGGCATCAAGTCAAAAAGATAGTCCGTTTAATTGACAAACTGATGAATCTGGGACTTGATCTTTGTGCCTTATAATATCGACATACGATTCAACTTCTTCAACTGCTTGTATATATTATAACCCATCTACTTTTATGCTCTGAAGTGTTTGTAACCATTGTAATCTATTGTAATCCATCTGTTATAAGTCGCTGTGTATAGCAGCAGTCAAATATTTGTATATTCTCTCTCAGCATCTTTTTCTAAGTGCAACCAGGTAATATTGTCTATAACAGCTGTCCTTGTACCTATGGCACATTTAATACCAGGTGCTGTTTAGTATCTGTATATCTTGCATTTGCCTATTTACCGATGAATAATAATGTTATCTTTTGCATATGCACATTTATTATCAAGTGCTGTTAAATATCTGTATATATTGAATTTGCATATTTATCTGTTGCATATGTATTGTCCTAATAGTCTCTTTGTTGTCCATAGCAGCTATCAATGTACTTATGGTACATTTTTTACCAGGTGCTGTTAAATATCTGAATATATTAAATCTGCATATTTACCTATGAATAATAATGTTATTGTCTTTATTTTTATCTTTTGCTCATGTATTATCAAACATATAACTGTCTGTATTCCCTCATAATGCACTATGATAATACCTACATTGAACGTATTTTGCGTTTTTCACTGTATAATAGTATATAATATCTTGGCATATCTAGTTGGGCGTATTAATGGTACATTGTTTGCCAGTTGCTGTTAAACATCGGTATACCATATACTTGCATATTTGGCTATACACTATACTGTTACTGTCTTCTTTTCATCAATTGCCCATGTAATATCATACATTTAATTCTCTGTGTAATAATAACACTGAATGTATTGGGGTCGCTAGAGATTTTCATTGTATAATATATCCAACCATTATCCATTGTTTTAAATATATCCATTGTATTTATACCAACATTGAATGTATTTTGTGTTTTCACGGTATAATATATGTTCATAATTTGTGGCATACTTAAGTCTATATTTCATCCTTTGCAAATGTATAGTAACACATTTAACTGTCTGCATCAATTTATTTGCTGCATAAGGATCACAAGTGTCATGATAATTTTAAATGTATATTTGTGTTACCAACACTGAATGTATTTTATATTTCTATTGTATAGTATTGTATAGTATCTACTGTATCGTATCGTATTATGGTATTGTTTTGTATTGTATAGTATCTTATATCAGTTGGCTTTATACAGGTTAAATATGTTAATTTTTATTCATTATAATCGTTTTAATTAGCTTTTGTATTGTATTGTATTGTAGTATTGTATAGTATTGTATGGTATCTTATATAAGTTATCTTTTATGCAGGTAACTGCATCAATTTATTTGCTGCATTAGGATCACTGGTATCATGACAATTTTAAATGTATTTTTTGTGTCACCAACATTGAATGTATTTTGTATTTTCATCACTAGTGTCATGACAATTTTAAATGTATTTTTGTGTCACCAACACTGAATGTATTTTGTATTTTCATTGTATAGTATTGTATAGCATCTACTGTATCGTATTATATGTGGTATTGTATCTACTGTATCGTATTGTATTGTGGTATTGTATAGTATTGTATAGTATCTTATATCAGTTGGCTTTTAGTACAGGTTAAATATGTTAATTTTTTTTTTTTTGTATTGTATTGTATTGTAATATTGTATAGTATTGTATAGTATCTTATATTCGTTAACTTTTATGCAGGCTAAATATGTTATTTTTATTCCTCATAATCGTATAATTAGCCTTATTGCATGTTTTTCCCACAATACCACGTGATCAAGTGTATTGTACCGCTATTGCATTCTGTTACATTGTATTCTTTTATTTTTATTTCTTTGGTATATCCTCTGTGTATTGCTGTAATCATTTACATTCATTATTTCACATTATTCTATGTTCTCTATTTTATGTTATATTGTCATTAAGTCTAATTCTACTGTCTATATTTATTCATTGTATATTATTGGGCTGCCCAACATCAGACTGTACTTTAGCTTATGTATATTCTATATTTGTGTGTATTACACCTTTGTAAAATTTTTGCTTATTGTCCAAACTCGCCCTTTTTGGCCCTGCATGCTTTTGTTATTTTATTTAATAAATGTGGAGCCTGGGCGGTTGTTGGGACTGTCTTTCATGGGCATTTGGTCTGTTGGACTGCCCCCGGGTTGAATTTGGCTCTGGGTTTGGGCGCCCGGCGCGTGGCGTCTTGTAATTCCTCTTTAGGCTCTAGATATAGGTGGACGTGGTGCTATACCGATTAACCTTTTGGTAAAGGGACAGTGCCCACGTCCTCCGTTGCTTATCGCTTATTAAGGAATCAAGCTTTGTACATTGAATTAGTGATTGTCTTAAATAAAACTATAACATACTTTAGTACTTCTTGGACAAGGTGTGAACTTGAACTTATGAAGCAGCTTTGCAAGAGCCATTTTTATTTCCATTTGAGCAAACCTCAGACCAACACAATTTCGTGGACCAGCTCCAAAAGGCTGATAGACCATCGGATGGATATTTCCTTTATTTTCCGGTAAAAACCTATCACAAGATAAATTTTATGATTAATTTTATATGTAAGGTTCATATTTCTGAAAATGACTCATTTGAGAAGGATAAATGAGCTTTTGCTTGAGAAGTAAACGTTAAAAACTTAACATCTAGAAAATTAATACAAATAAATAAAGGAACCATGACAAAACAAGTCCGGGATGGCTCAAAAAGGATTAGTTTAGTTTAACTGTAAAGCAAAGTACGCGAGGGCTATCTGCCTAAGAAGATGGATGCCTTCGTTGAGAGCTTTCTAAACGAAACTAGCTCTTACCCATATTACACATGAGGAAAACGACGAACACGCTCAGGTGAAAAGTCACAGTCCTTCCGCCTGGGAGCCCACCGAGGTCAAGTGGTATAAAGTCACTGAACACTGGTAATTCGGTAAGAGGTTCGAATTCTACGAAATGGCTGGCTGTATGGGCGTTTTCATGATTTTCCCCATGTGTAACGTATATACGAGCCAGTTTTCCTTAGTCTCGCAAGAAAGCATCCCTCCTCCTTTGTCAAATAGCCCTTGAGAGCTTTGTCATAATCAAATAACCAATCTGTCGCCTGGAATCGAACCCAAATCGAACTGCTAGTGTTTAAAGACCTTACCTATCGACCGCTGGTGAGTTCGTTAAAAATGGCAAGACGATACTTTGAAGACTCTTGCGGATCATACATATCATTATCGCTGTGTTCTTATTTTAATAATCTGTAGCCTGAAATTATATTTTAAGATTTAATTATGTAATATTATATTTTTTTCAATTATTTCTACTTATTTATTTGTTAAGTTATTTTTTATGTATTATTGTAATGTCATATACAATTTTTATTTATTTATTTTATTCTGCACAGTGATTTTGTCATGTATTTCTGTGTAATCGAATCTATAGCCATTTTTTGTTTATGTGCCGATTTAATGCTTTATGTTGAAAGTTTTATTTTATTCTGAATGGACTGAAATTTGAATTCAGTTAGAACTTTGGATTTGAGAAGAATTTCTCTTATCGGGTACTCTAGAAAATTGCTCACATTTGGCGACTTTTTACCAACTTGACTACATTATAGAAATTTTCCAAAAAAACCTGTTGGAATCCCTTGAAGTGATTTTCTCAAAACTTCCAGAAATGCTTATCCCTCCGCTTGAAGAAACTATAATGAAGCAAACTAAATACAGCTAATACAAAAATATGTATGGTTGCTTTTAAAGATTTCGTAGAAAGTGATGTTTAATAAATAAAGCTAAAAGAATATATAAAAATTTGTCATCTTATCAGGAAAGCTGAACATTAATTTCATGAACTTAGAAAAATGGTTAACATTCTATCTTACATTCTAACTTTACATTCTATTGAAAATTCTAAAGATATGCCACTGTTAAAATTTTTACATGACTAAGAGGATATACTGCGATCGATGCGATATTTTCAAATGAGAGCATGGGAACTGATTTATACATGAGAAGATATAGTTATCATTTCCATTTTATGGGATAACACAATAATAAAAAACGAGTAGCATTTATAATTCGCATTGAATCATAAAATTTGTAAATATATTAGATTTTATTCACAAACGATCAAGCAATTCTATGCTTTAGTAATGAACTTTAAAGTAAAATCATTTGATATCGTGCTTGAGGCTCGTAGTTATTTAAAACATGGGATTGATGAGAGGCCACATCAGATTTTTTTTCCTTGTGAAAGTTTCAATTACTATGAAATTTACATTACAAAATCAGCAGTTCCCTGAATGATATTATCTGAATTCTTATTTCTGCTTAAAACTAAATAATCGATCAGTAAATGTAATTTCAGGTTTAAAATGTAGCTTTCTCAGTATTTTGAGTTAAATTGCATTTTAATTTTAATAATCTGCATTCTAGTACAAACTGAATATCTCTTATTTGGCAATGGGAATTTTGGCAATATTTACACATGCGAAAACGTCTTCTCAATGAAACAAAAGTCGAAAAACATGTAAGTACGAACTCAATTAAATTTCAATTAAAATTAAGTTTATTCAAGCGCAAAAGATAAAATAAAATAATAGAGAGAAATTATGAAGAATTCTGAGCAACAATTACCAAAAATATACTTATTTTTATGTGCGATTATGTATACATACATTGTCATTAAATATTTATCTGTATAAGTGTTTCTCTATTTCTGTTAAAAATGACAAGTTTAAAATAAACTTTTATTTCAGAAACCAGTTGCTTCATAATTTTTACAAACTAGTAATCATAATTTACCTCTCAGGATCAAATTCTTCTGGAGCATTCCAATATGCAGAATCAAAGTGCAAAGCGTAGACAGGAACTAGAATGTTCATATTTTTTGGAATTCTTATATTTTCATACTGGGTATCTTCCAATGACACACGAGTTACGAAACTATAATAAGAAATCATCCGTGAATGATTAATTAACAAATTCATATTTTATTCATGATATGAAATTATAATTTTTAATACACACTGTTGGCTATAATTCAGAACAAATACGAAAATTACTTTATTGAAGCGATAATTTGTTCTGTAAAGAATGAACTATTACAAAAGCAGCTATATTAGACTCGTGCATTGCAAAATTCTCTTGCGTTCGCCATAACGGATAGGCAGCAAAAAATATTATTACACTGCAAAACTGACTATCTCCGCCTGCAGTAAATACATAATGATTGTGTGTGTTACTATCGTTATTGTTTTCTTTTCTGGTAGGAAGAGGATTTGATGCTGGGTGTACATGTCTTCGGTATCGTTATCAACGATACCAAAACTGCATACTAGTAATGAGCATGAGGTGTGTGTGATACCTCGTATACTAATACCTGATGCAAAAACTACACGGCAATGTGTCATGCATGTCACACTGAATGCGTAATAGAAACACAATTAAATCGAAATTTATCCTGATTTCGCTGCAATGTGTGCCACTGTTCCATGCGGAACATTATTGGTGTCATTACTTTATAAGTTATTTCTCCAGTCTTCTTAGCGTGCCTTCGTGGTGTAATGGTCTGCATGCTAGACGCGTATTCCAGACGCGTAATAGACGCTACTGTCGAGTCATCGCATAACTTGCATATATGCAACGAGTATTCCTCAGTGGTTTTTCTCATTTTATGAAAATGTATGCCATTCGGATGCTTAATACTGCTTGATGTTGTTGCAGTTTTTAGTGGTAGCGAAAAATTTTGAATAGTTTAAAATTCTAATTTCATAAGTGTTCCTTACCGCACTGAGTTAAATATCCCTTTTTCTTCTTATATTGTAGTATATTGGAAACATTGATATATCGATCTATCACTCTTAGATCCATTTTGTAAGTACTAATTACAAAAATGGCTTATATCGTAAAGTAATTATGGCTATCAAAATACTCAACTCTTTCGAACCTTATAACTTTTTCATATACGGTATTTGTAAACTTCTACAGGCTTTATATTGCCTTGAACATTAATTATAGACATACAATTACATTTAAACATTTTATCAAAATAAGGTGGAGAATTTGATGAAAATTGTTTCAACATCGTAGAAGTGAAGGTTCCATCTATACAAAATATAAGTTTTTACACCAAACCTATAAATATAAAATCCTATTTATTAATATACATAATGATTTCATGGCACGCTGATCTGAAGAGTGATTATCATTACTGACTGTCGTATCGCTTGGCCCAGTTCGTATTCTGGAGAAAGCTAGGATGTTTGTAAATATATAGTGTCTTTGCGGCGTAAAATACACGGAGAACGGGAAGTCCTTACGAATGGTGTGGCGTAAGGGAAGAGGGATGGGAGAACGTTGGACCTACTCCCCAACGGGAGTTTTCTTGAAAATTGTTATCGAATTAAGCTAAGTCGTATCTTCACCTATAAGGTGACTTATACTAACTACAGGCGTATTCTTCCGCACCTAGCCACGATAAAATTCGCGGCATTTTTTTAAGTTTCAAATGAGATAATAACAAGAACATAATGTTTTAATAGGTTAAATGCCTGACATAACTTTCGCAAAATTTACACAGTTCTGCTGTCAGTGATTCCAAAAATAAACTAAAGAATGCTGTTTAGCCTTAATTAATAAAATGAGTAATTTTTCAAGTTGGGTCTTAAAACTAATAAAAAGTTCTTCAGTTTTGCTTAGTAGTTCAATGACTATTCAAGCTATTCAACTGCTTTAAATCAGTAAATTTTCTCTTGAATATACTAGCGAATTTTGCATGTAAAGGTATGAACCGTTTTGGCGTTTAACTTGCGTAAAGAATATTTTCCTTAACAGAAATATTTACATATCCATGTGTTCTGTTGTGATCGTGTCGCCACTTTTAGCAATATAAGTGAGTTTTCATACTTTATTAAGTGAATATTTACTTCTTTACTTCTTTATACTTGTAACATGAAATCAATAATAATTCAAAATCGAGTCATATTTAATTGCCGAGTATATTTAGCAACCGCTTTTAAGAAAATGGCATTCAAAATGTTATGTTGAAAACGTTCAAAATGTTAGAAAAGTTTCTTAAGATGTATCAAAGTATAAAACTGAGAACAAGTTTTGCAAGATTAGATAATACACTAGAGTGCTAGTTCTGTTTGCATTTTCACTTTGGAAAACATGTTTCCATTTATTTGGACATTCTCCGTTAAAATACTTACTTATAAACAGGAGGATAGAGTCTTAATCCTTCGCATATTACGCTGTCAAGATATTGAAGTTTTTGAACCGTTTCATAGCTCAGAGTGTCCTAAAAATTCAAATTCGCTTCATAGTAAGATCGATATATGATAATAAAATAATAACAGAGTTAAAAAATTTCAAAAACTTCATGTAAACATTTAACAAATTTTTAAGAGTATGGTAGATGATATAAAGTTGCATAATACGGACATATGCTAATTAAGCAGTCGTTGAAAATTCCAACATTCTGAAGGATTCGAGGAAGTTCATTTAAATGGTGATAGGAAGCGTTTAGTACTTTGGTAAGATATATATTAACAATATTCTTCCTTTATGGATTAAAGGAGATGAATGGCAGGTAAGTGAGCTCAGGCGTGCTGTTGAAAGACTTGAATCAGGAATTGTGAACTCTGGAACTTGCTTTCGATTTGTTTGATGCAGCTCGAATGCTGTTGACGAGATGTTCAATAGATTCTAGATTAGATTAATTTGCTTGATATTCTAATAAATTCCCTTTTAGACTACACTGAATGTTGATTTAGATGGAACTACCACTGAACTACACATGCAGAAATTTAGATGCGACATTTAGATTCATTATAGAACTTTGTTAGATAAGCTGCACCATTATTACCTACTGTATAATCCCATTGTAATCTTTAGAAAAATCTTTGTAATGCTCTTGGGCATGCTGTCTCTGCATGTTTACTACTTCAGACTGATGGGAATTGTTCTAATGGATAAGTGGCTATCACTATCATATTATCTGCGATGGTTGACCACCTCACAAAAAGCATAGGCAATCGCTGTAAAGTTTGTCTGAGTATTCGGTATATACCTTATTAATAAAACTTTTCTTTATTGTTAACTTCATACATCAATTTCTTAACGATCCAAATGTGGCATCATCTTATAATTTGCAAACACTAAATATTATTTTCATATTTATATATAATGCTTGTTTTTTAATACATAAGCACATTTGCTGCCTTCATGTGCAATATGGTGTCAATCAAAACATTACTTTAAATTTTTGTTGTTTCGTATTGTTTTATGGCATCGTGCTTAACATTTGGAAGCTAGCATATATACATATATATATATAAGAATATTCAAAAAGGAAAGAAATATACAAAATAATTGAGATTTCTTTATTATGCGCAAAAACAGCAACAATAATTGTGTAACAACAGATTTAAAAAAAATTAAAAACCTCATGGTAACATTACAAAATTTATTAGAATATTTTTAAAGTATCTTTTTATCTCTTATATACTATATTAAATTTTGTAATTTGTAGTGAAATATTTGATGTTTATATGAAGCTGGTTTTGAGAATCTCTGTTAAAATGCAATACAGCTAAGGTACTAGTTAGAGCCCTTACGTTTTGTAAAATTTAATTATCATGATCAGGAAACTTTCAGAAACCTGCTTGAAACCTATATTTTTATTGCATAACTTTTTAATAGATTATGTTCTAGCGGATTGGCATTACTTTAACGCTTTAAATTTAAAAACTTTTATACTAATTTTCATCGTCTGGTGTATCCACATGATGGATGTTGATAAAATAATATACTTCCACAAAAAAAAAAAAAAAAAAAAAAAAAAAAACATTAGGAACTTAAGGTATTAGTTGTTAGCCGAATCTAAACTATTAGATATAAATATTACAGCTATAAATAAAGTTCAAAATTATAAGCTAATATCAAAACTCGACAAGAGTAAAGTCAGTGTGTTTCCTTTATTGTGACATTTATTTCAAGCCTAAAATGCTTGACTATAACTAGAATAACATAACCGAATATAACCAAATAACATAACTAGTTTAAAGGAGCTGCCGAGAATCAACAACTACAGAAGTATAGTTCTTTACTTACTTTATCTGAATCCAAATGCTGATTGATTTCTTCCCTAACTTTATTTTGAACTTCTGGATGATGCAGCAACAAATGTGTAAGAAATGCTAGAGCTGTGCTTGTAGTTTCATAGCTAAAAATAAAGTGGAAATTTATACTTTGTAAGCAATGCTAATCTAAACAATGCAATACAATTAACTCAAACATAAAAGAAGATGAACTTGATTTTAAATAAATTTGTCAAAAAATGTCTTTTGGACAGCTTGGCAATTTAAACTATAATGTAAAATGAAAGTTTGCATTTCTTTTACTATATAATTACTATATAATTAGTAAATTTCAGTGTGAGTTTCTTTGGTTGCCGTGCGGATAGCAAAGCGGTACTCTGTTCCCGCTGGATAACATTTAGTGTGATTTTAGCAAAGTTAACCAGATGATGCATTTTTCAAAAGATGGCTGTATCCCTTAATTTAGCCAAATATTTCTATGAGCACTTATAATGGCTCTAAATTCTGTGTACCACCATGCACTGAGTTTTTCTCATGTCAACAGGCTGGTTAAGAAGGTTATTGTACAATGATTGCTGCTAAGCAAAATCGTTGCGCGTATTAAGGTTACCTCCCTCACTTCTACAGTCAAAACATTGATAATTTTTAATTATATTGGTATAAAAATTGAGAAAATTTATTTCTACAGCAAAATACAATGCAAAAATCAGATCCGTCTTTATCGAAGGCCATATATCCGTACATCCATAGATCTTGCTCAATCGATTGGTATTTCAGTTCAATTTTGAATCTCGGCAGATGGAGTAACTGCAAGCGATTTCTTGTGATTTTTCTTATGTGTGACGTAAATGCAAATCCGTTTCTTTTAGATTCCTCTACGAAGACATCATTCCTATCACACAGATATTCCTCGTGTATTTCGTCATAATTTTAAGCAACTAAACAATCGAATATGGCAAAGATATTATAAAAAAATGGATGTTATAAAAATTGTATGTTTCTAATAACAAACATTCCTTAGATTGAAACTAATATATTGCCTTGTATTAGTTTCAGTCTAATATAATACATGCAATAACCCAAAGTTTAAAGAATGACGAAAATTAATCGTTCTTAATCTCTGACTAGAATATAAAGCAATACCTGCATTTATACTACAGTAGCAATAAGAAGTACAACTACGTTTTCACGTGGGATTATTTATTTACTAGAAGCTACTTAAAACTGATCACTAAGGCCATGTAAAATATTACTAAAGAGAAAATGTGTGTATTTAATTATGGCAAAGCACACTAGGGCTATCTGCCTAAGGGGAGGAATGCCTTCGTGGAGGACTTTCTAAGGGAAACTGGCTCATATACACGTTACACATGGGGAAAACCACGAAACACTCATGCAGCCAGCCCGTTCGCGGGATTCGAACCTCGGAACTAAAGAGAAAATGAAAATATCATCATCATCTTAACAGTTCTTGGGATTTCAAACACAACGAAGAACTGCACTGAAGAATATGAAACCATGTAAATATCTACTTTCATTGTCCTAAAAACTGCAATTACTTGAATAATGAAAAATAGTTGAGAAAATCATTCCACTGAAAGAATGCCTGTCATTTTTACACAGAAAGATATTTCTTTATACCTTAAAAGCAGCCTGGAAGTAAAATATCAGCAAAGGCAAAAATGGAAAAATGTGCTCGTCTCGGAAACATATTGTTTCTCGTTGTGAATACAGTTCCTTCACTGCGGAATAGAAGCACTCCAAGATCATTCATTCTCAGGCAACTTGCAACCACGTGTTAACTAATTTCTATCCTCACAAATGAAAAACTTGAAGAACTCGACACCTGATCTAACACAGGTAGTGGAGAACAGCGAAGCCGAAGCCTCCTTCATCCGAGCTCTCCGACGTTCAAGAGAGAGGGAAAACCGATTGGACAAAAATTTAAGAAGTCGCTGCGCGGCTTCTTTGATGATTAAATCATAAATTCAAATTTAAATGCTTATCTTCACATTAGGGACGTAAAATCTGTTTTTCCAACGACAGGGATGCTTTCTCGGAGGACTTTCTGCATGGTTTGAGGAATTCACATTAACATTAGTTAAAATACTATAAGGTATTTTCTTCCTCTTTTCTGCATGCCTTCGTGGTGTAATGGTAGCACAGATCCAGGTTCGATTCCCGGAGACGGCATTCCCATTTTTCACGTCTCCAGCATCAAAATAACCTAATGTCCCTACAAAACTTTTAACATTTATGTAAAAGTATTCGTTCATAAACAGATCTTTAAATGTCCAAATTATTTTATTTATGATAATAATTCTAACATTCGGTAAATTTCAGCTTTTTTTAATTAAATGTATTATTTATACTTTTGAGCATGCCAACAACAAAAGTTAACTTGTTCTAAAATTATTAGAGTATGGTAAGACATTTCGTTTCGGCTCTTTTCAGTAGTTATCTGTTTTCTCTAGCTAAGAATGGACAAAATTTGCAAATTATATCTTTTTCTATTTATTCCTTCTCACATTTCTCATACGAGGCTATAAACTCCAGTTCCTTAAATTATCCTGCGGACACGAAGTACCCATTTTCTCCTGGGCTTGGGAAAGGACTCTTTCCCTGCTATAAATATACACTAACTTGCTCATCAGTAAAGGGGACTATTCATGTTTCAAGAGTCAAACGGCGGTGCTGTTTCCCTCATATTAATCTTTGTTCTTAAGAATGTGAGGTGAGCAAATATACACTTGTGAGACAACGGGATCTCAACCCAATAACGAAGGAATGTTTTTTAGATGATACGACCGATCATACTTTTTTGTTCTCCAGCTTTAAATTTAAGACTGATCTGCTGTAGTCTGCCTCATTTATCTGCTGTTGCATCCGAGTTAGCCACTGAAGAGTCCTTTAATCCGTACAGTGTACACCACGGTAGCTAACTGTTACCGACATACATGCGGTACACAAGGAATCGCATAAAAATATAAAAATGAATAATGTTTACCTTGCTTTGGTAGCATTAACTAGTATCAAGCTTCTAACAGACGTTAAGCGAATTATTCCTATGTCTGGACAGGACTTACGAAGTCTTACAAAGAAAATCTCTTTATTCAATCAGAAAGGTGAAAATAAATGCACGACTCGGGCTTACAAACTCCGCCAGCCATTTGTAGCGAAGTAACATAAAGAAATAGTATCTTCAAATTCCAAATTTAAAACTAAGACTGAGAGCCAAGAACTACACAAATGATTTAACCCGAAGTTGGTTCAAAATTTCCTACCGCCATAACTATTTATATACCGGCAGCAATAATGCAGAATCGAAAACTACAATCTTATCTGAGCTATCTAACCTAGTCACGTGGCCACGAAAGGTAGAACATGCTCTGAATTAAACTCCCTAAACCTTCTTTTAAATACTTTCTTTTTCTCCCTTATTTTCATTCTGGCAAGGAAACGGAAACGAGAAATGACTGTAAAGATCCAAAACATAAAATAACTGGTTAGTGATAAATATTAGTAATAACCCTACAAAATGTACTTCAAGTTTAGATCAAATGAAATACTTCTTTCAGTGTAGAAGATACTGTTAACAATGACTTGTCGTCTGTTGGCTGAAATGCTTACAATTTTGGAGAATAAAACTTACGGAAAATTTTTATGTATTACTAGGAAAGTTCTTTGTTACATATTGACTGCTGAAATTGAACTTGAAACTTTATTCCCTGAAACGTTGTTTTGTCAGTTCTTTTAATTGCCTGCTTTCCACTTACTTACTTTTCGAATGGTGAAAAGATTTACACAGAAATAAAGTTCTTAATTTCATGTTGTACATCTACATTCGATGCGCTACAAATTCTTGGAAATTAAAACTATTTTGTTCTGAAATATAAAACTTAATAAAACAGGATATAAAATTTATTTATATTCAAAATAACACATTATTCTTATGTCAAGTACTCTCTCTGCTCTTATTCTCGATAATATTATGAATCGTTCTTATTTCGTAGTATCTTCTAATGCAAATGCAGCACAAAAATAAACAATTCCTACAAATTTGTATACTATTAAGCAAAAGTATTACATACCCGGCTAAAAGAAATAAGAGAGCATTTTGAGAAATTTCTTCATCAGTCATTTTACGCATGTTTTTCTGATCCTTTTGAGAAAAGTCACCTATAATTATAGAATGCATGACTCATCCTTAGAATGAATGTGAACCTTGTGCTAAAGATATTACTTTACACGTAACAAACAAACAAACAAAAAAAAAAAAAAAAAAAAAAAAAACAGAAATGTAAATCACAAATAAATAAAATAATTATAATTTAAATGTTTAATCGTAAGCTAAACAGAATTTTTCATGACACGTTCCCTATACGGCAGGTGATACTGAATCATTTCGAAAAATAATTTAATTAATCAAAATAGTCATCTCCGCATTACACAACCTTTTCCCAACCTCTGATTTATCTTATGCTTAATTTCTTAAATGTCGCTTTTTCATGTGGCTTTCTAGAACACGAAAAAGTACGGTAATTCGTTGGGGTAGTGTCAGGGAACAAGGCGAATGAGACAGCAGTGTTCTATTCTAAAGAGTTCATGTTGACAATTACTTCCTCAGTGGATGCTTTGGTATTGCTCTGCAAGAAGTTCAATTTTGTTCTCTTCAACCGTACCATTTGTTTGTAAAACATACAATAAAAGTACACCTCAAACGTAATTGTAAACCTCAGCTATAACTGCTTAGCTTTTATTAAAGACATTTGGGGTGCACAGTGCCGAAGTCAACCGTATGTGCAAAGCATGAGTTTTATAAGATGGGAAATTTTCTAAACGGAAATCAGTCTTTTGATGACAATAAGGTGCATGCCTGCTTGTTGATAAAATATTGATTTCATTTTAACCATCCACTAGGGGTAAAGCTAGAAGAGGTTCATTTTTGTGATGGAGGTTAACTGAAGAACTCATATGAATTCTTTTACTCTTAGATAAACTGCGAAACCACGCGTTCATTTTATCCAGAGTTGATACATATGCAAGCAGATGTTTCCTAACTAACCTGCAGCATTTTCTTGATACTTTAAAACTAAATCATTTTCTGAAATGTTTTTCAGATCTTCGTTGTTAGATACAGGAAGTCTGAGCGTGATACATTTTTCAGCTGTTCTTAACGTAAAAGAAATGCTTCGTATTTCTTCTGTGGTTTCTTCCATACAGAAGGTTTTTGTAACCTAAAACTTACACGCTTGTTAACATTCTAGTAAATTTTTTCTGCAAAGTAGTTAAATCACCTTCTATTTAAAATTTAATAATAAAGCATTTTTCTAAATCTACATTTAGCAATACAGTAAATCGTATAATCTTGAACATAACTTAAATTTTACAGTTTCAAATTTAAGATTTGTAGATTCAATGGATTATGATAAGCTTAATAACCCATGGAAAGTTTAGAAATATGTACCGTTTTGGATCCGTTCATCGTTCTCCCCAGCTGTTAAAAGACTTTCACTTATATTTTCTTTAGACACTTGTGCATTAATCATCAGCTGAAGCAAATCTTTCCTTTCTTTCTAAAAGAAAACATTAAATAAAAAGTATAATATATTCCAACAACATATAAGATGAAAGTAAAGCAGAATTTGAAACAAACAAAAGAAACATTAATATGAATTGCAAGTGCAGCCCAAAGGTTAAAATTTTGAGACTACAGAAATAATGATTATCTCATTTTCGGATTTTTTATTCTATCATTCATTATAAGGGTTTTATAGCTATTCCTTCATTTTATCGATTCTTGTTACATTATCATAATGCTTGTAAATTGCAAATAGGAGAAAATGAGATTATCCCTAAAATATAATTTATGATTTCATTCATGTGTTCAAAATGTTTTCAACAGAAAAGCGAAGTGTTATTAAAATTATTTCATCCTTGATGCACCGCACTGTTTGTTTAAAAATTCTATATTCTAATACTCATAATTTTTATTGTCTAATATAATTGTTGAAAACAGATAATTAACGATTATTCCTTAAATGCATGTAGTTGAAGTTTGGCAACATACTCATATTTAGTGATGTAAATCAAATCAACACATAAATTTTAGCTTACTGCATAGTGTAACCATTTGGATATATACTGTGTACGTATATATTTTTGAAAGTTTCAGTGTGGTGGCACCACTAACTGTGTAATGATTGTGATTATTGTGAGCTGATGTGTAGGGCGTGAACATAATTTGTGTTTACGAATTTTTGATCTGGTGTTTGATGTTATTTGGATGTGTTCAGAGTAAAATTGTTTGAACAAGTTTATAAGGTATGTGTTATTACATAAAATTGTTATTACACGTTTGCCTATCATATGTTTTTTGTAAAAGTTAATAATATGTTTTCAAAAATTGAAATAAAAACATAGTTTAAATTTTTTAGTATTTTTTCTGTTTTATTTGATATCAATTCTAATGTATTTTTGATTTTAAAAGTAAAAATAATTATTAATGCATTTAAGGGTTATATTCTGCCTTATCAAAATATTTTCATCAAAACTGTTAAAGGAATAACCAGATAATATAAGAATAATTTCTTAAATTATTGTGTTTTATCTTCAGTATATAGTTATAGTTATTCATCTTGTTAAGTTAAATGCCTACATTTTCTTTACCCAATGAAATTCTTTACCTACGCATATTTTGAGTAAAGTTTTTTAACAGTAGAAATGTTTCTACATTCATTATTACTAATTCCGCATTTTACTTTCTTGATTATACATGTAATTATACAATTTATTTGATCATTCACATTCTATAACTTATAATTTCGCGATCGGCACAATAGGAGGGTATAAAGTAGCTCGCGCAACCGCAGCATTAGCATCCATAGACGGCAAACGTAACTGTGTCTGTGACGTATGAATGCTTCTATTGTCAAAGAGATCGATATTAAATGCCTTTTGGAATTTGATGCATATATGCTAGTAAACTTGAGCTAAGTTTTATTCATTTGTACTGCTGTCTCAAAAGCATCGAAAATTGCCGCCCTTTATTTGATGTTGACTTGTATTTTAGAAAAATTACTGCTAAGGATTTTTGTTGCTCCATAAGGGTAAGTAACTGCAGCTTCCATGCAAAACCTTTGTCAGTGTACACTGAGAATTGATATACCGTATTACATTATCAGTATTACCTTATTAGGAGACAAACTAGTTTTTAACCCAGAAGGTTTCTTGAGAATTAGATTCTTCCCATCGCGTTTCTTACTTTCAGTTAACCGTGTTCCAACAGCTTATAGGTCTAACGGCAAACATCCGCTGTACCGGGGCAATTTTAGGTAAGCTGACTGAGATATTCCTTTATAAAACGTATTTTTAAATCGTTAAAAAAATTAAATTTTTGCTCAGTTTTATAAATACAATTAGTCAATGCTTCTAACACTGGCTCAGTGGTTTCCAATAAGAAACATAGCGGGTATAAGAGGAATCAGTTCCTGTGGATCTTCTGATACATATGTTAATGGCCTAAAATTAATAACTGATTCACAGTCACAGATCACGGCTCGTTATATTGACTCATTTTATCTATTTATATTATATATATATATACATAATATTATTTATATATGTTGTTGTTGTTGCTTATGCTCACTTGTCTTACGTAGTCATCCCAAGGCCACGAAAATCGTCGTGACAAGGAGCGCTAGATTACGCCTGCCATTGGCAATAGCCTTGATCATCATTCAGAGTGCGATTTAGCTCAGGTCAACCGCCAGTTTTGATGAATTGCAGCCCGGGGGGGCGGGTCCGAGGTTCTCCCACTCATCTTCTCTTACCACCAACCTCTAGAGAGGACATTCAGCAAGTCACATATTTAGTGTGCCCCTATGCCGCACGAACACTATACATTTACAAACATCCATGCATTATCCGGGATTCGAAACCGGGCCCTTCGGCACGGCAGTCAGCAAGGCTAAACACCATACCTGTTCGGCGGCACCACATAAATTACGGCTGTGGTAACACAATTGCAGTTCTTACCTTTGGATCAGCCTTTCTTGCAGCAATGACTGCTCCAGTGTTTGCTAGTAATTCTAAGCGCGGTTCTCGTCCTTTATTGCGAAAACGTAATATCATGCTTCTCAAAAAGGAGAAGACTCCCATTACTTCTGGAAATGAAACTGAAAGATATGTTTTGTTAAAAACAGATTAATATAGTTTTTTTTCTCTAAAAATTAATAATTATGTATAAATTTTCACTTCAACAGGCATTTACGGAGCAAATAAGATTTAACTTATAATTTATGATTTAGCTTTTCTAAGTATTCAGTTTTAAATTACCTAAATAATCCTTTGGATAATAAGCCACTAGAGAAAATCTACATATATTGACATTTACTGTTTCATGCCATAGGTTTGATATGAATATAAGAAAAGACATTTCTAAGTCATTTCTTAGATTAATCATGATTAACAAGAAGCTGAATGATGTAGCAAATGAGGAATTAGCTTAAAGAAATGATAATTCTACGTATAAAATCCTTAATTGCAGTTTTTAAAAAGTATACGTAGTTTAAGATGTGTTTCGTTTGTTTTTAACAAATTTTTAAGACACAATCGTTTTCAAAATAATCCTAATTCTACTCCGTGTATTCATTATACGTGTGGCGCATCATAACCTTTTATGTTTCGTGCCAGAAAAATCCTCTACGAAATCATCTAGTCCCCAATATTTCTATCAAAAATTGCCTAATTTAGAGCCTATGTTTCTATACGCATTTCTGGAATTTCACATCTATCTGGTTATATTCAAAATTCATATATACAGATGATAAAGCTACTTCCTTGTTATTTTCGCCACCGCTCTAAGTCGCCAAAATTTGCAAATTTGAGGGAAGTAAGAACGTTTCGACAGCTAGAAACAGGGTGCTTTCAAAATAAATAACACGAGTATTTTCCTACTAAAAATCATTGCATAGTTAAAATATTTAATTTATAAAGTCTGCATATTATTATTATTATTGATATGATATTTTCACGTGCGCACGGGTTCGTAACGGATTGAATGCACACAAAATAGATGATAGCGTGATAAAATTTATTTTCACCCAAGAAACATTTTACTGTTCTAAAACTTTCCGCAAAAGTACTCGCACATCTCTTCTCAGTAGGAGAGAGCACAATCAGTGGTCACCACATCATACTACTAATAACATTAGACAGAACTCATTGGAAAAACTCATTCGAAGAGCGAAGCTCGCACGGAGATTTTTCAATTCTCCGAAGTCAGTTCAGTGCTAAAAAATTGTGAAATAATTCTCTCTCTGGCCTTATATAGTCTTCTCGCGGCCATCGAGAAATATATAGTATCTTTCATTTCTCGAAATTACTGGCAGGTATATACGGTTGCAGTCACATCTAAGGGACTGATACGGTTGCTGTTACATAGGCATTTAGTCCAATTACACCAATTTAGCGAGATACTATTTACCTCAATTTTAAATAGACTTGCCCTTTTAATCTTATTTTCGACGAAACTTCATCTCGTCAGATTTTTTATGTTACTTTATACCAAATTCCTTACATTCTCCCCTTCCCGAGAAGTGCACATCCCGGTTTGTGCAATCCCTGGATAGGAAGCCATACCTACAACTAATGAAAATCAATGCAGTAATAAAACAATAATTTCAATAAATAAAATAAAACAAATCGAATACTAAATCAATCAACAAATGCATAAATTTATGCACAAATAGGAGCAGGGTCTTAGTATAAGTGTACTATTTACGTTATATACACTATGGAGAATACGTACTATGGTCATAATTTGATTAACCAGCTCGCATTTCGCTTCGAAACTTAAAAAGTATCGACAGATTTCTGGTCAGAGTCTTCTAGAGTGGTCTTCGACGTTTCCATGCGACGATCCTTTTTTATCATTAAACTCAACAAATTGTCTACTGGGGCGGTTTAAAACACTGTAAAACTTTCTCTTTGAACATCCGTAGTCCTCCCCAGTGCGGTCTCAGAGTAACCTTTCCCACAGTGGTCGCATGTAGTGGTGTTTAAGACATTTTCCTATGATGGATAGTTTAGTCATATTCCCGGAGTCTTTCTATTCATCTGGCTGCTAAGTCTTCAGGATTCTTGAAATTTAATGGCCAGGTCAACGATGTATGATCTGTGTGAAGAAGGATTTTTCTCCAGTAGATTTTATGATGGAAATGTCCTACGTTCTTTATTTATGGCGAGTAACTCTATTCTGGAGAAACAGAAATTCCTCTCCCGGCTCGTTCTTGACCGCTTCTTTCTTGGAACAAAAGAACACTAACACTCTCACTGTTCTCATCCGTGTCAAGAATAAATGGTTTGCCAAGCTGAAGGATACGTAAGGATTGTCGCAGATGTTAAAGCGTCCTTCTGTTTGTTAAAAGCAAATTCACACTCTTCTGTCCACAAGCTAATTTGTTTGCTTTCTATCAGTTTGTGAAGGAGATTTGCAATGGAAAAAAAGACCTTTACCAATCTCTTGCAGCAGATGCAAAGCTCCAGGAAGCTTCTCAACTGATGGACATTTTCGGGGTGTCTATAATCTTTTAACTGTCAGCAACATTTCTAGACCCGAAGACACACCTTCGCCAGAGATGATATGACCGAGGTAAGTCACTTTCTGTCTGAATAGTTTATATTTAGCGGGACATAACTTTAGATTGGCTTCTATCAACTTCTGAAGTAACTTTGTAAGCTTTTTCTAAATGTTCTTCAAGAATATTCCCAACGATGATGATGCCATCCAGGAATATTAGGCAGGCTTCGTAAGATAGACCTCTCAGCGCAGTCCGCATGAGGCCTTCGGTTGTTCTCAGAGCATTACAGAATACAAACTTGAGGTGCCAAATTCCTTGTCCAGTGTCAAATGCCGTCTTTTCTCGGTCGTCACGGTGTACCTCTGCCTGCCAATAACCAGCCTTTAAATCAAACCTCACAATCCACTTGCTTCCAGAGTATCCAGAATGTCGTCAATTTAAAGAAGAGAGGAGCTGCCTTTTGCCATGATCTCATTCAATCAATGATAGTCAAAACAAAACCTGGTTGAATCATCTTTCCTTCTGACGAGGACGATGGGAGATGTAGAAGGTATTGCTGACTACTCATTTACTTCTTTTTCTTGCATTGGAATTCTTGAATGACACATTATGCAGCATTTCTCTCTTCATAGCTTAGTTGTGCATTATATGGAATAAGTAGGATGTTAGACTCTCCAAAGACACAGACTGAAAGACCGATACGCAGTCGCATGGACCTCCGACCTAAGGTTCTACACCAATCAGAGTTATATGTCCATGCGACGGAAAAGAATCTACCATCCACCGCCAGCGGCATTCACTGAATCAATGATAGTAATATTACAATGCTAAATTGACAATGTCATCTATACAATAATTGTTACATAATAATCCGTATGAAAAATAAATATACGATCAATTAATAATTACATTGTCATGGATAGGATCTATGTTGTGGAGAGTAGAACTTTTTTAAACCTATGCCAGTTTTTAAACCTATGTCTTCTTCAATACGTCATAACTTCATGTTCTTATCAGTTACACACCTAATGATGTGTGTCCGTATTATTTTTGCAGTTATCCACAGAGTAAGCCAGTCACATTAGTTCAGGCAGTTGATAGTTCCATAGCCCAAAGTATATGATGTTGTGTAGGTTATTCTATTTTCACTTTTGTTAAGTTCATCGTTCAAGTAAATACTACTTGTCCACTTCGATACATCATAACTTCGTGTCCTTAACAGTTGCACACCTCATTATGTGTGTCCATAGCAATTTGCACACCGCTGTGTCGCAATTATCCACAAGTCAATCACGAAATTGCAATTGGGAAGTTCATTGTAATATGTACACTATTTTACTATTATCCACAGAAGCAAATGTTTTGTAAATAATGACTTGGTTCCCAGATGATAAAAAAAAGAAGGAAACTAATCCTTAAATTTTTCAATACAATTCTAAATTGTGCAAAACTACAAATTTGTTAAACAGTTCCAGTCAATACAAATTGACTGGTATTCCAACAATATAAAGCACATATTACAGACTGAAAGACCACTGTTACGTTTAACACAGATCAGTCGAGTATCTGCTGCAACAACTTCGACTTCCTGATGACTTTTGCCTTATCAGTTACGTTGGCAACTCTCACCGAGATAACGATCCTTTATAGATGGACGACTGCTGAGGCTACTAGTACTCCTTTTTAACTCTTACAGCTCTTGGATATTGCATTATGCCGTACCAGAAATTTGTTTTCAGCTATGTATCCAGGAAGTAAAAGTTATGTTCTTTCTGATACTGTGATATCGTGGGAGTTATGATTTGGTCGACGGATTTAACTCCTTCATCTTTCATTCCGAACACAGTTATGTCCTTAGAGGCAGAATGCAGCTCAGTATTTTTAAATTCCATGGAAAAATATATTTCTTTAGAAAGTCTAATCCGAGTATACAAGGATCTGTAATATCTGCCTCATATGCCATGTAATGTTAGGCGGCTTTTCCATACGTGATGCTAACGTTTAATTTCCCATCGATGACGATTTATCCCCGGTCATAGTCTGGAGCGTAACGCTCGATGGTATTCATATGAGTTTTCCTTCAAATTTTTGAGCCAAATCTCTTCGTACGATGGTGACATCGGTGCATGTATCGATGCTTATACTGCAAGGAATTCCAATTATATGTCTCATGATGAAAAGTCCATTATTGCCGCCACTCATTGTAGAACTCTGAAAATCTTTAATTTGAGATTTCTAAATATCTGGAAGCCTCTGCCCCGCTAGATGTCCGCTAATTATTTTCTCACCTCTTTGCCGAGATCCGTCCCAGCACCGTGCTTTAGGGTATCCTGAATTTTCTTCGTAAGTAGCCATCACCCCCACAGTTCAAGCACTTAAGGGTCGGTTTTTTGTCACTCCTATTCCGCATCACGGCATCGACTTGCGTATTGAAATCGTCTACGCGAGCAGTCAGTTGATCTATTGGCAGTGCAGTTCTGATTGGGTCGCGGTCTTTTCAGGTTGCTTGTCGGAGTTCTCGAATTTCATGTCCTACACTTTTTACTTTTTTAGATCCTTGACATCGTTATTCATAGGGCTTTCTGTATCTCAGGATTTCGGATGCCATTGATGAAGTACTGCAGGGCAGGATTTCCTTGTTTTTGATTTTTCGTCCAAAAACGCGAGATGGGAGAGCCTTTCAACATCCGTGGCGAGTTCTTGGAGTGTTTTCTTAAGCTTCTGTTGTCAATATTTTAACTGAATCCTTCTGTAGCCTTTAAAACACTTCTCGTCTAAGCGCAGCTCCAACGCGCTCGGCTGAGCTTCGAAGTCTAGCCTCTGGTTTTCGGGTAGAGTTTGAAGGATACCCACTGTATCTGCTGTCACATATGCGGCTAGATGACAGGCCTTAGCTTATAAATCCATTTTTGTCCGCGGCTGTAGAGAATATATTATTTTGTTGTTCTACAGTTTATCCTTAACCATGTCTATTCTGCCTTCCATAGTCTCGAATATTGTTTTCCTGTTATGGCATTAATTTCTTTTTCCATTTCCTATTGACCTGCTTGACGCGCCTCATCTCCTCTTTAACGCATTTTTTGCCTGCGCATGCAAGATCTGTCTCTTCTATTCCACATAAACTAAACTGGATCCTATGATGAACCTGGCGAATTCTCGAACAGGTGTAAAAGAATTACCATCACAGAAGAAGAATGAAAATAACCCTTTATTTAATTCCAACAAATAACAGAAAGGCATTATCTTCGTGCTTTACAAAAACACCGTCGACTTGCGGTAAAACTTACACGTAGAATATAAATCGATTCAAATCTAAGATAGAATAGTGCTGGATTAGCACGTTATGTCTAACAGGTTGTTTCAACAAAAACCTAACAGGCGTGACGATAATCCGAAATGACCAAGAGGTGTACTAGCATAACAGCGAGATAGCAATGAAACGTGCGTTGGCTATGGAAAACACGCTGCGAATAAACTCAGAGATTCATCCGTTTAAATACTCATTTCACTTAACTTTCAATTTACATTCTGTTGAGAAAATGCGAGGGGAAGTTGAGGAGTTCAGGAAAGGTATCTAACTTAAAATAAATTTGTTATGAAAAATAAAGGAAACCATATATTTACATCTCTTTTTCAACAGAATTCACAGCTCCTTCCATCTTCTCTAGAAATGCAGCAAAGGCGTCTACAATTTGTCTTTGTTGCTAATCCAATTATATGTCTTGTCACCGACATTCAGTCGCACTTCTGACACCAAAACTTGTTACACCGGTATGGGTTCTTAATGGACTGATGCATAGAGAACCGATAATAGCTTGATAAAAGTTATTTTCACGAAAGAAACGCTGAACTGTTCTTAAACTTTCCGCAAAAGTACACGTAAAACTCTTCTAATTAGGAGTTATTAGAAGAGTTAATTCTAAGTCCTATTTTGTGTCAAAATACCTATTTTAGAATAGTGCTATATATAAATCTAATATATATCCTAAGTCGCGCTTTCGAGACATGAAGAACGCACTTTGAATTTTGTCAATCGGCCCAGTAGAACGGGAGATATAGCACTGTCCCCCTTTTTTTTTTTTTTTTTTTTTTTTTTGAGCAGTGTACATAGGCATTTAGACCACTTACAGTTATACAGGGACCGAACCAAAATGTCGGCAAAACCATCCTCAACTTGGCGATATCTCTCCAAATTTGGGAGATAGCCTATATACCTGAATGTTAAGTAGACCTGCTCCTTTAATCTTATTTTATTAGCAGCAATTCAGCTCTTCAGATCTTCCATGTTACATTATACAATATTGAAGTAAAACTTTGAAATTATCGTCAATAGCATATTTTGGGGAAAAAATTATAAAAAGGCCTTTATACAATAGATTCCAGATATATATGCTTTCAGATATTTACACACAAAGCGTTTTTCTTCATCAAAGAAAACTGTTCGTATTTTCTATGATATTTACACATATTTTTAGAAATTCAAGTGATTATTATTCTAATAGGTACACCATAAAATTGTGTTGAACTAAAAAAAAATTTGAAAACTTAAAAAATGCATCATATTAAAAATAAAAAACAGTGACTCAAAAATTAATTTCTTTTTGGAGATAAATTTAAATAGGTTTGCTCACTATATTTAAGGAAGTAATTTTAAAACTTGAAACTCTTTTGTTAGTTAGAATTTTATGAAAATGTGCCAAGCATTGAAAATAATCGTTTTGAGAAATCTTTGGGAAAAGAAACATATCGCCCTATTAACTACATTAAAAATTTGTGAGACCTCCTTGCACCATATTCATGTAGGATTGACTACTTTGTTTCGTTTGACTTTAATGTTTTGTTTTATTTTGTCTTTTAAGGATTCTTGCTGTCTGAGTGAATTTTATTATATCATTGTGGATATTTTGTACACGCTTTGAGAAATGGTTTTTGTTAATTTTTCTTATACGTATGATCTGAATTACTCTCTGAATCTTTCAATACTTCAATTTGGCAAAATTTACCCTTCATTAAGACAAAAGACTGTATTTGCCCGTCTAGTTTCGACATATTTACACCAATATACCTAATTTTAGGAATTTTTATCCATCCATGCATATATTGAAATAAAGGTTCTTTCCAATTCATATCTCTGAAACGTTTTTTATTGCTGATAGACTTAATTCTGAAAGGAAATGCGTATGTGTAATACTACTGACGTTGAAAATATTCTTAAGTTTCAGTAAAAGGTATTTAAAAAAAAACGTTTTTGAAATTCTCTCTTTAAAAGGACGCAGGGCTCTGTCAGTTTACAACTTTTACCTTAATTTATTAGCGTTCTGTACTTCAAGCCCTAACATACTATATGTTTTTAGATCAGCAGTGTTAAATTTATTTTTTAAATCAAAATGGAAAAATCGTTTCTTTATAAAATAATTTGGTTTTTAGCCCCTTTAATCATTCAATCTGTACCGCGTAAATTTCAAATGTCGAAAAGGGCCTATGCGGCGACGACTTTACAATGAAAAATTCCCGCACATTGAAAAATTGTTTAATGGAAAGAATTTCTTATTAGATGTGGAAGCAACAAAAGTTCTCCTGACAAATTTTAATATATTAATTCTCTCTACCAAAAGAAAGCAACTTTTAAAATAGATGATACCATATAACACATTTCAACAATGGCTATTGAACAAGGGGTATTTATTACACGATGAACGTAAAATCTTGCGATGCTACGAATTTTTCATTGGGATTATTTCAGCGGAACATGTGAATTCTAAAGAAAACATAACTTTCCACTTCTCAGTGAATACGCTTAAAAGAAAATGACATGCGATGTTTCATCATGTAATGCACTATGTGTTAAATGCATGATAATAATTGAATTCATCACAGAAATCAGCATGCAACCAAGCCTTCTTTTTGAGCAGCCGCAGCTCAGCATTGTCGCTTGTTTTCTTTAAAACTCATACAACACTAATTATAAATTCTCTAAAAGGATACAAGATTTAGTGTCTTGAAATCAGCATTATATTCTTAAATATTCTTGTATAAACAATAGTGAATGATTCTTAGTCTAAAGAAATTTAGTCTAAAGATTCTTAGTCTTTAAGAAAGTTTAGCTATATAATTTAATGAATAGCAGTCTTTTAGAGATATAATCGATTAATATTTACTGTTAAGTGTAAGCATGTTTATTACTTACAAGCAAAGAGGGAAAAGTAGTCCATTTCCAATGAAAATATAACTCTAGAGTGAGTCAAATAAGGTTCATTTTCGTCTTTTTGAGCATTCGTATGCACGCCAAGAGATGTTCTTGCGATTATATCCATAGTGAGATTTTGGTATAACTTATAAATATTAAAAGGCTTTCCTTCTGCAGACTTTCTTACTACTGCTTCTACGAGTTCATCAACAGCCTGGCTGACTATAGGATTCATCTGCAATGAAAGTCCAAATATCAATACAGTTATTTATACCTTTTTTCTAAATAAATGAAATTTTACTGAGTGTACCAATGTATGAAAGATATGAATTAATATATCACGTTAATCAACGATGCACAAAAATCGAACTATTTATGTGTAATAACTACAGTTAGATGAATCAAGCTGATAATTTTCTCTTTCTTTTTTTATTAACTTATTATTTTCTAATAAATTTGAACAAGTTTTAATAAATTTTCTCACTGAAAATTCGTGCTAAATCCCGCACAATATTTACCTTATAAACTGCATATAAAATACTGCATAAATAATTTAATGTAATAACCACATTATTATTTTAACAAGTATGTAATTACTATTGCTTGGAAAAAAATTGCATTTGAAAGTGCATTTTAAGATTTAATTACATTATTGTTTATGAATATTTCAATTTTGTAATTACATATAAAACATATTTCCTGTCCCGTTATTATCTAACAAAATAGTAAAACATTTAGCAACGATTTGATACGATGATTAATTTATCCATTTAATATATTCTTGAGTGCTATAACTGAGTTGACTTTTTTGGCGAAATTCATTCAAACATTTATTGTTTTCATTGTTTTATCCTTGGAACAGAAAAATTCAAGTATTTTGTATATGCAGCATAATAAGATATAAAATAAAAAACACAGAATACCATTTTCAGTTTTGATGTGGTAAATGTTGGAGTTATAATGCTACGTATATCTTTCCATCTTTTACCCTTAAGACCAGTCAAAGCTTTAGTGTTATATTCTGTGGTCGAACGTCCTACATCCAAAAATGACTGAAATAGTAAGAAACAGTATAAGGTATATTTACATCATGAACATTATGTATTAACTGATGTATTCTAAATAATTAAAGACGTACTATTTAATGTAAAACTCTCTCTCATATATTAAGCAAGAAGAAATTAAAAAGTTATTTATTTTGTCTCATATGTTTCTAGAAGTATGATATAATGGGTAATTTTTTAAATATTTAAACAATTTAAAAATAAATATTGAGTGAATATGCTCTCATTAATAATTGACAAATTTAAACGGTTTTTAGGTTCTTTTTTTTCACTTTAAATAGCAAATTTTTAACATATTTTTTAATTAAGACTGAAATTGGATTCCCTGTAACCTAAAATTTGTATTAAATTGCATTGTAATTTTTAAGTTATTTAAATAAATATCATTGAAAAGAAGTTATTTATTAAAAAATGCATGCTTCAAGAGCTAATATAAAAGAATTTGCATTAACTATGTCTATAATATTTCTTTAACATATTTGATAAGACAACTGATTCGAATTCTGCAGTTCTCTTACACGAGCGTTATACTTTTATAATACGTAATCTAGTATATTTTCCTTATAATAAGGGACAAAAGCGAAACACTGCATCATCGCTTTTAATTCTATTTCGTTTTAGGCTAAACGAAGTGGCTGTATAAGGCTTTCATAGTCTCTTCCCTGCGTAATCTGTATAAGCCTGAGAAGAATACAAAGTTTATCGGGGGAAATGGATGAATCCTTCGTCAAAGGCTGATTTGATGAAGGCGTCAAGGAGTGTTTTGCCATAAAAAACAGTCCTCAGTTTAGCTAAAAATATCAGGTTCTAAAAACGTTTGTTCAATAATAAAGGTTTAGCAATACGTTAAAGCTTATTGTTTACATTAAGTATATACGTGGTGAGTATTTTTATAGCCACTAATAAGAAGAATTAAATATTTTGTTTACATAATTTATCTCAAATTTGTCATTGCAACTTCTGTTTTGAAATTATATTAGTTTATATTTAATTGTATTTAAATTTAAATCAGACATTTTTCTTTCTTCAGGAATAATTTATTTGCCAATATGGTATGCAACTTCTTACGAGCTTTTACCAGCATCACTTAAATAATGCCAAATAATTACGTTTCTTGATAGTAAAATAGAGGTGCAATAAGCACCAACATCCGCAGGCGTATCAGGGAAGTGGAAAGTCATAAGGAAAGGTGAACTAAGTTGAAAGCAATTATTTTAGCGATTTAGTCTTGTCAGTCGGTTGGAAAGGTAGGTGCATGGCAGCAATAGCAATAAGTAAGCAATTATGGAATTCTCTAAGAAGTAGTTGGCAGTTCAGAAAGTAAGTCTGTACTTCGCTGTGATTTGCTGCTGAATGAACTAAGCTGGGACGACGTGAGAGTACTTTGGTAAAAACACGTGACCTGATTAAAACTTCATTTCATGAATGACAGTAAATAATTTAATCAAAAATAGCAATATTAATTACATTTTTTAAAATTTATATTTACTACAATGCGTCATTAACTGAAAAATCTCAAATTTTAAAATTAAATTTGTAGCTTAAAAATAAGTAAACTTTAAATTTTTGTGATTATAAAATTAGCATTTTACTAATGTTAAACTTTGTTTGCGGTTAGTGTCAATAAAAGATGCTCGATGATTTCGATGCTACAAGAGCATTTCGTCCTTTCGTTTGAAGTACATTATTCTGCATAATTGTATTGTCGCAATATAACGGTTATAACGCAGCTGTTAACGCAATATTACAGTTATAACGCAGCCTCTGAATTTCAGTCTGTTGAGCAATTCTAGAATTTAAAATTACTTTGCTGAAATAATGGCTTCATATTTACTGGGCCACTCACATGCATTATAAAAAATTACATTTGAGATTATTAGTGGTGGGTCAAAATATTTTATCAATTCATTCATTAGTTTTTGATATTTCTCTGTTTAGACACCTTACTAAGCGTTGCACTCCTTGCCCCAGAATCTGCCCTGAGCGCCTTCTTTAAATCTGGGAATGCAGATTCTTCAGTAAACTTACATTACAAAGGAAATTATGATTAAGTATGATGTAAAATTTGATTTATTATAAAAATTGTAAATGTTTAATAAAACTTTCCGTACCTTTAATAAATATTTTTACTTCCTTTTACCTATACATATGTAAAAGTATTTGTAATGCTTTCATAAGAAATATTTATCGGAGCTTATTTATATCCTCCTATTCACACTAGATGGCAGCACGTAGTTAATAATTTACTGATTTAATTATGTGTTTTTAAAGTTATAGTAGCTGCATGAAATTTCATGACAAGCTTTTTAATTAATTAAAAAATTAAATTTCAAAAACTTAAAAATAAAAAAGAGTATATACATTTGAAATTTTATTTTTAAAAATAAAATAACAAATTAAAGAGTGAACTTACAGATCTGTTGGGAAACTTATGAAACTCTTTTTGCTGTATTATTTTGAGAAGCTCAGGATCCGCAACCAAAAGAACTGGCCGAAGACCAAAGTAATAGCTGTATGTTTTAAAATATATAAACAAATAAAGCAGAAATCAAAAAAGACAATTAAAATTAAAATTACGTTCTTAATGTATAATAAGCGATTAATAAAACTAACTAATAAAATTAACGTTAATAAGCGGTTAATAAAACTAACGTAGTTATTAATCGCTTATTTTTCTGTAACTTTAAACTTTTGCTGATATATCGTTAGAAAATCAGTGAAATTGGGTGAGCCTATATTTTAGGGTGCCCCTTGGATTATCGCCAAGTTGTTGCTTCATTTATGATAACCTGAGTAGTTGAATGTTATGGAAACCTTATTATGACGTGATTGGTTGCGTGACTGCGTGAATTTGACTGATGGCAAAATATTTGTAAGGGCTTATTTATGCATTGGATGTCAGTTAGGAATTAAGATGCTTATTTTGTGCTGTACGCCGTAAAATGGCTATATGTGATGAGAATAATCTGAACTTTCTGTACGATTTGGAACGAAAGGGAAAAAAAAAAAGCATTAATTGACTGATGTGTAAATGAAGGTTTACTTAGTAGTCATTACAAGGGTCCTGTTTGTACGAAGGATATGCGTATGGTCGAACGTAAAAGATCGTTCAGATGGCTTTGGATGGGTTTGTTGCAAGAAAGATTCATGCAAGAAATTGCACCAATAGTCCGGCAATACGGAGGATATTTTTTATTCTTATTTTTGTGAATTTATGTTGTGACGGCAGTATGCATATTTCTAGTTCAGATAAATTTAGAAAGTTTTTGGATGCTGCTAAGGAATGTTGTGTGCCACAGACTGAAGACATAAAAAATTTCTAAATATGGTAAGTCGAAAATTCCCTTTTGTAGTATATGCGACAGCATGGATTTCCTTTTTCATGTTATTTCATTGTGTGATTTAAAATGCAGTTTATTGAGCTTTGATTGGCTACAAATTTTGTTCAATTTGGTGCTGAGTAACTTTGTTTTAACATTATATGGCGTCATCATTCTCCTGATTTAAGGAAAAATAGATCGATGTGTACATGGACAAAGTCAAGGGAATGTGCAATGCCGAGTTTGTGCAATTCTCTGATTTTTTTTAAGTAAAAATAGATCGATGTGTACATGGACACCGAGTTTGTGCAATTCTTTGACCTAATATTTTGGTTTTGTGTAGCGACCATCTTGAAATTTTGCCTTGCTGGCCAGTCGGCAAAAATCCCCAATTTTTGCCAAAGGGCACCCTGAAATATATTTTTACCGTGAATTTGAAAATCGTAAAATGACTACATATCCGGCTAGAAAGTTTCGACAGCTTTTACCATAAGTATTAATAAATTACTCATATACTCCAACATTTGTGAAACACGAATTGAAAATAACCTCGTTAGTGTAATGCATTATAATATAACACCCAATATACTAACTCTTCATTGCGGGGGGTTTCAATAGATTAAAATTCACCCACGGTCTGGCTGATCGCATGTATTATTTATTGTAATAAGCGAAGGTTATTTCATTAATCAATAATTTTATTTTTTAATTACAATATAAGTAAAATAACTTTTTAAGTGTGTGCCATGTGCTAATCGTGAAAGTGATAGTGTGCTAATCGTGACGAATCAAATTGCTTCCTTTGTCTTATTCTGAAGCGATGCTATATTTAAGAACTGTAGTGGATAGCAGTGAAGACGTATTATTTTTGCAACACGTTGTGTTGAATCAGCAAATGAAATTACGAATGTATATAGCGGTAGCTGGTATTTAAAAAATGAAGAGCACGGTACATATCTAATGAACTGATCGAGCGTTTCAAAATGTATATGCTTTCCCTCATGCTAATTGCAAAGAAGCTATGAATATTAGTTTCTTAATGCAAAAATCCTGCTAAATTGACGCTTTATTTTAAAATAGTTTTGATTACAATTTAAATTTCTACACTGTTCTTCGGACTCTCCTATTTCTTATTCATTCCAGAACTACGGCTCTTACTTATGTTTAAATTTTATATGTTATTACAGAGAGCACTACGTCGTCTTCCGTTTTAAATTTAATCCTATTTAAACTATAGTCTTATAATTGCTTGAAGGAATAGTTTTGTATCTGAAGGAATTAAATATACTGTAGAAGATTGAATGTTTTCAACATAAGAATATACCATCCTGAATACAAAGGAACGAGAGTGAGGCTTATTTACGTAGGTTAATTAATAACTACATTAAATAAAAATATAAAATTGTTATTTGTTAACCTGAAATGTTTTTTCATTTAGGAGCTCTAAAAACGATTTAAGTTCTGTAACAGCTCTCAGAAATCCAGCTGCGGATCTTGAAATTTAGAAATTTTAACATGTGGCTCCTGCAATTTCGAAATTCCGGTATTATTAATTAATTCTAGAGATAAAATGCTTGCCAGCTTTTGACGTAATGTAAAAATGATTACAGTTATTTACATTTAAACATTTGCATATAAAAGTTAACTTACCCCATTATTTTTCCATATTTTTCAATCCACTTTTTATGACAAACATAAGGATTCTAAAATAGTTTCAATAAAATGTTAAGGCAGCAAAAATAAAATCAAAAAATGTCAAAATTAGTACGAAGCATCTCAGAATGTTTTACTTCGTGCATTACATTACTGAACAAATATTGTATTACAACTAAATAGAGATTAAAAAAAAATATTTTCAGCTATGTGTTCCTTAGGGTACTTGTACGGGAGAAAAGCATAAAAAAATTACATTGTTGAAAGTGACACTCTTAAATGAGGCACTGTTGTATTTACGCTTGACTTCATAAGGTATTTCTCCCGCCTTCTTAGCATGCCTTCGTGGTGTAATGCTCAGCACACTCGGCGCGTGTCGAGAGGTCCGAGGTTCGAGTCCCGACCAGAGCACTGCTCATTTTTCACGTCTCCCGCTTCAAAAAAATCCTAATGTCTCTACAGTGGAGCCCGAACAGAAAAAAGAAAAAGGTGGTGGATGATGATTCTCCACCACAGGATGTGGCGATTGGGTTCCCTAATCCCCAGTCGCCCCTTGAAAGAAGGAGTATATAAGGTATTTCTCCCGCCTTCTTAGCTTGCCTTCGTGCCGTAATGGTCAACACACAGTACACTCGGAGCGTATTCGAGAGGTCCATGGTTCGAGTCCCGTCGAAAGCGTTGCTCATTTTTCATGTCTCCTGCTTCCAAAATAACCTAATGTCTCTACATTGGAGCCGGAACTAAAAAATGGTGAATGATGATTCTTCACTACCAGGATTTGGCGACTGGGTCACCTAAAACCCAGTCGTCACCCTTTAAAAAGGGGAGATTATAAGGTATTTCTTCCGCCTTTTTAACATGCCTTCTCGGCTTCCTTCTGCCTTAGTGGTGTATTGGCCAGTACACCCGGCGCATATTGAGAGGTCCGAGGTTCGAGCCCCGGCTAGAGCATTGCTCATTTTTCACGTCTCTCAGCATCAAAAATGCTAATGTCTCTGCAAAGTAACCTACATAAAGTAATTCGCGAGCTGCCACAGTAATCCACGACACAATTACTAACGTCTTCCTATTCTATATCCACGATTTAAACCCGAGACAAAATTAGCTTCCTCTCCCTCTCTCTCTTTCCCCCGATATGGATTTCAGTGAAATAAACCGATGGTTGCACAACACAAAAATAGCACGGAACTGAAAGTGTTTGGGTTGAATTAAAATACAAAGCCTGTCAGGACTTGTGTTTCTCTTTATTTGCTTTGGAAACATGATGTGTCCTGAATAGGAACAGGGAGCTTACTCAAGCTATGTTTAAGATTTGTGTGTAACAGACGACACAAGCAAGAAGGGTATACGAAACCCTTTATTTTCTAGACTTTTACAAGTATTTCCGAACTTCGGGATACAGAAACCAACCACTTGTGGTCTGAACGTAAGAATATAAAACTATTAACTAAAACTCTAACTAAAGCTAACTTTGAATTAGTATACCAAATGCCTAGATCTAAGACTGGCCTTTATTTAAAAGGGTAGGTATGTAGTACGCCGAGCTGCTGAAACTACAATACGTTTCCAAATATCAAGAGGGCTAAACCCCTGGCCTTAAAGGCAACCAGCAACCGAGTGAAAACTCGTAAAACTGCAATGGCAAGCGGCTTGCTTCCTAAATCTCCTTCTCTTTACCTTTCTTGGCAAAAAGCCACAACTTAAATACTTGGGCGTTAGCAAGACAACTTGCATAAACAAGTTAAAGCATTTAATTGTGACCGGAAGTGGAAAATAAGAAGTGATTGTACAGTTTTAAAATTAAATAAACGTTAGTAAAACTTAGGATCCTTACAAGCCTTCCAATCAGCAACACTTAACTAAGCGGTTGACACAAATAACTGATAAGGAAAAGAAGATAAGGGAAAGACAGCACGAGCGAGATAGAGGCATTCTTTGGTAAGATGATAACAAAGGCCACCCAGATGGTATAGTGATTAGGGAAGACTGTTGTGGTACCGAAGGGCCCAATTTCGAATACTGGAGACGGCACAGATGTTTTTAAATGTATAGTATCTTTGCGGCAGGGGGGCACTCTAAATATATGGCGAGCCTAAAGTGCTCTCGTGTGGTTTAGTGGTTGGAGAGAGGGGTGGTAGCATGCAAATTACATTCCTGCAAAGCACTGAGAATAAAAACAACAGGCGATTTTTGAGAAGAAAACGGAAAAATATACACATAAGACAATACCTGAAAATTACAAAACAAGAGAGTTCTACTAAATACATGCAGGATATGTCGATGGCAATTAGCAACGCTTCTATTATCATACCAGCAACGCTACTATTATCATTATGTTTTCGAGCATTTTTAGCAGATATCTAGTTTTTATTGTGTTCTATGCCCACAGCGCTTATTGTTATGAGCTCTTATTGTTGTTTTATCGATAAAGCTCTCTGTAAGACGTCAGTCAAAAATAGAGTGATCCGGTTTTCAGGACTACCATAGAAGCTAAGATCGTATTCCTTCAGGCCGAATCAATGAAGGTTATTGGTGAATAGACCATGGCTTGCGATATGCTGGGTAACGTACGCTTTACCATTAACGAAGTCTTCCGCTACATTCGGGAAGAAACTGTGAGCTCAATAGCTAATGTTGCATTCTTCACATTTGGAAATGAAACATAAAATGTTCCAGGTGTTTCTTCTCTTTTGTCACACAAATGTTCATGCACATGCATTAATGTCACATTCCTTCCGCTACATGAATATCAGATTCGATAGGATTCATAGAGTGATCCTTTTGAAATTTTGATAATTATTGCCTATTCACATATATTATATTTTGAAATTTTGATAATTATTGCATATTCACATATTTTATAAATAGAATGATATTTTTTAATATATGAAATCGATTCTAATACGGCTGCTCCAGAATTTATAAATTTTCGCTGCATCTGCACGCGAGGTTATGAAACGATGAATATGCTCGTGTATCTTATCTCCTGTCAATTTCGATAAATACGGTTATATGATGGTTTGCACGTAGCAACTTGATATTGTTTCTGTTTGCAAGAATAGTTATCATTGTGTAAAAATGTTTTGCAATTATATGCTTTGCTTTATTTATAAGGACATTATAAAGTTCTTATATACCCATTTTTCTTAGTAAAATTTGAGGTAATTAGATCGTACCTTTCTGAATTCCCATAGATTACCAAATAAGATATTTGGCTCAGGACCAGGTATATTTAAAGATTTGAAGATGGACAGCTGTTTCTTCCTCCATCTAAGAAGAAAAATATTTAAGATAAATACTTAAAAGTAGGATTTTTATGTTAACTGACCAAAATGCTACAATAAAATAGATAGGAGATCTTCGCATATGACAGTATGAATATTTCCTTGACCACGGCGAAATTTAGAAACAAGGTTTCTATTTTTATCACCATAAATTTTTAGAAGTTATTTTTACCATTTTACTAAGAAAATTCTTCTGGAGTCAAAAACGCGGCTTTTCGCTGTTTCATGATTACAAATATCTTTCATTTGAACTCCAGATTATAACAATATGCTGTTTAACAATAAAGCAAATCAAGCTGTTTAAGAAACAGAACTTACTTTTTAATATCATTTTGAAAGTTTTGATGGCAACAAATATTATTAGTATTTATGCAAAAGTAAATTTTTAAGAAAACTTTTCTATCACCGTATGTTTTATAAAGACATCTAATCCAAAATTTCTCTTTTTGATCTCCGTCTTGTCTAAACTAAAACAAAACTGTGGCAATAGTAATATTCTCAACCTATATGCAAATTGCAAAAATTTCCATGCATTCTCTTTTAAATTTTTCTTATACCACAAACTTTTTTCCTTATCCATGAAAATGAAAGATAAATACACATATTTGTACGGTTTTTCTTTTATTCTTTTTGAATAGCAAAGGTGGTTAATTATATACCGATTATATACCGGTTATACCATGGTTAACTTACAAGGTACTTTCTCCCTCCTTTCGGCATCCCTTCGTGGTGCAATGGTAGCACACTCGGCGCGTATTTCGAGAGGTCCGTGGTTCGAGACCCGGGGAGGGCAATGCACATTTTTCACGTTCCCTGCTTCAAATAACCTAATATCTCTACAGTGGAGCCTGAGCTAAAAAGCGGCGTATAAGGATTCTTCACTACCAGGATTTGGCGACTGTGTTCCCTAATCCCCACTCGCCCTTTAAAAGGGGGAGTATATAAGGTATTTTCTCCCTCCTTTCTGCATGTTCCTTCGTGATGTAACGGTAGCACGCTCGGCGAGTATTTCGAGAAGTCCAGATTCGAGTCCCGGTGAGCTCAATGCTCATTTTTCATGTCTCCAGTATTAAAATAATAATAATAATAATATCTCTACGAACTTGAAACCACGATTGATTTGAAAGCAGTTAAAAAGCATAAGACAGAGAAGTAACCTATATTACAGTTAACTGAAAATGCTATTAACAATTTACTTGCGTTTTTAGGTAATTTAATACTAAGAATAATTTCATTTTGTTTCTTTAATTCTATAGTATTAAAAAATAAAACTGTAAATAACGTAAGAATCAAGATCATTAGAAATAATCATAATAATAATAAAAAAAACTAAGTTGTATAATAGCATTAACGGACAGTATTTACAATGGAATTTGAACGATAACATTAGTAGTATTGGCCCCACTGCGGCGGCGGAAGTGACGTCAGAGGTCACGAGACCGGAAGTGCCGCCATTTTGTTGAGTGGAGTTGGGTTGTTTCGAAGTGAAAGTAGAAGTGTTTGTTTTGAAAGTGGAAGTAGAAGTGCATGGAGATTTTTAGGATTTAGGTATTTTTGATGGCAACGAGGATTTGGGGGGGAAAGTTTCGTTTTGATTTTGTGGCAACGACGATTGTTCCACGTGTTCATTTTTGAATCCGCCATCTTGAATGACTCCCGCCATGTTGGATTATTTTTTAATCTAATTTTCTTTCTAATTATTAAATTAATTAATTAATGTTTTATTTAATTTAAATTATTTATTAAATTATCTTCGAATAGCCGCCATTTTGAATCACGTGGTTTTATTTTTTTTTTTTTGCTGGAGAGAGGCAGATGAAAAAATCACCAGACAGGTCCGAACCCGCCTATGTCGGGATCTGCAGCCACGCGTTTTAACCGCTGAGCCACGGTTTACTTAGGGACGAGGTATAAAAATGAGTACTTGTAAAAAAAAAAATGACAAAGCGTTCAACGTGTGTTTCACATCCCTTTATTTATTTTTTTCTTTTTCTACGTGTTAATTTATTTTTGTTCATTTGGAGTTTTTAATTTTTCTTAATGAATATTTTTAAATTAGAAAATTAATTATTTTTTCAATACATTTTCTAAGCGGGGTGGGTGATTTCATTTCTAATGGGAAGAATGTTTCAAAATCATTTTTTATTTGCAGCGAATGAGTTAAAAAAAACGGTATTATTTTTAAAACATTATTGGATTTTCTTAAATACATATTGCTGCTGGCGCCATCTAGTGTGCATAACATCTACTAAGTTAACAGGATGGTTTTAAAAAATGAAGAAGTAATATATATTTTCTTTCCACAGGAAATCGAACCCGCTGTCCCCGCAAAAATGAATAAAAAGGAATTGAGGGGGACCGCATCCAGTACTTTAGGCGATACCCCACAATTCCTTGGTTGAAATGGTTCTTAATTATGTATATAAGGTTGAAACCCCATCTTGGTTTGAACCCATCTACTCTGAATCCGCCATTTTGAAAGATTTGCTTGGGGAGGATGACATCACCCATATCATGTTTGTGCATGACTTTGTTCGAAATGGCGTCTGCCTTTTCACTCCTCCTTTGGGTAGACATCCGCATAGGCGAACGAATACGTTTCTGTGGACCAATCAGAAAGCTGAAAAATGATATCATGGTCTCTTAGCCTAGTAGAGTAATGGAAATTCACTCGTGTTGTATGCTGCAAAAACTTACCTACATTTCTCTGTCTTTGAAATTTTAAGCTAGAATTTACATGCATATAACTTCACTAGATATATTTCTGTAACTTTAAACCAATATACACAATGCTCATTCTATATAGTTTAACTGGAATACTACATTTCTTACTTTTTATACTACTAAGTTGGAGATACTCAGAACTTTCTCTTCTAATGTATTGTACTAACTATTAATGACTGTATTAACTTTTTGGCCAACTATACAAAACTTCGCGGATTCTCTTTTACACATCTTACCTTTATTCAAAGGATTCACCAAACTATGTCTGACAAATGTAATTTTACACTTTCCATTTACACATTTACCCTTATATTTAACTTATAAAACATATTCATGCTGTATTTCTGATTCCTTTTCCCCAAAAAAATTAAAGTATAGACTTTTACACATGTTTCGTTATTGTAGACCTACCTGACTTTAAACAAATCTTATAAGGAGCAATAAATTTTTCATGGTATGAAGCCCACTCAAACCAATGCATGGGAGCATTTCTACCCATTTAAGTTTAGATACGTGTACCAATAGTACTTCATTTCTTCTTATTTTACTCTACAGACATTTATACATATATACTATTCAGAACACCCTTTTATTCAGTAAGATTCATTTATACTACTAACACAAATTTTGCTAACTCTTTGAAATATTTTACAAAAATATTTTGTATTTTCTTGCACACATCCTACTTAAATCACCAAACATACACTGAACCTTAATTTTTCCTTCATCTGAAAACGTCATTCGGATTCTTAATATGATTCCACCATTTACTGCAGAACTTTATAAACACTACTCTATTTGAATTTATCACAGCCTTACTCTCTTAACAAGGTACAGAAGATTGAATTATATTTTAACTACAGAGAAGAATATCCACATTGTAACATATTATTTTAAATTTGAATTATAGTCACATTTTTGTGAAGGAGAACTTAAAGTCTATAATACCATGGAATTTAATATTCAGCCATGGAAATGAAACTTTATCGCCTTTTTTCCGAATTTCGAACGAATAAAAAATCTGTTAACTTGGAGTTTTTAACTTAACTGAAAAATACTCATATTTCACATTGTCAATAATTTATTTAGCACTGAACTCTTACAGCCTTTTCGAGAACGAAATTTAATTTATCATACCTGACAAATGACTCCTACATAGTTATGATACATTACACGAAATATTGAGTAGAATTCCAAATAATGATCTAACATAGTAATTAAAATAAAGACCTAAACAAATAATTTTAAGATAGAAATTTCAAACTGACATTGCTTAATAATGAACTTTTACAGCTTTTTTGACATTAACTTCTCATAGATAGTAAATAAAATTACACACAAATAATTATACAAAATAGGTAATAATGACAGAAAGTCCATATAATGATCTACTATAGTTTATCTTCAGCTTATGAGTTATTAAATACTTAAAATATTTGTAGATCTTTATGTTGACACTTGTGATAGATTTTTTTGGACGTTTTTGGAAATGTATTTTATTCACGTGAATGAAACTGATTTTTCTTGAAATTTTATTATTCAGAGTATTAGTCAATTATGATAGAATGCCGGATTTGTTCTCTTTATTCAACATTCATATCAACTTCGGTATTCCAAATCCCTCACGCAAAATGTAATTTTTCTATCAGTAATAGGAAGACGAATGGAATAAATGCAGGTTATGCAGACACAAGGTAAAATCTGGAAGTAAAAGAAATTCTCCAAATCTAGACAATTTAGTAGAATGTGCTAATGCAATTTAGTGAATTCATCCTATTCGAAGCTTATTTTTTGAATTACATAGAATATAAAATGTAAATTTAATAAAAGGAGATATAATGAAGATCAAGTATTCTGCAAAATCTGGATGGTAATTATACAAAATTAGTCATAAAGCAGGTTTTCATAAAAAGCGGTTCCAGCGGAGAAAACATGCCGGCAGTCTCCAGAAGCTCTAAGTGAGCACCTGATCTTTGCTCTTACAAAAGCTAAGTAGAATTGTAAATTCTACGTAAGAGCGAAGATCAAATGCCCACTTAGAGTTTCAGGAGAGAGTTGATTGTAAATATTTACTCAAAACATGCAATTTTTTAAACTGAGAAAAGTTATTAATTTTTGTTGAATAGCATTCAGAATCAGTTTACATAGACATGATAAAAAAAAAAAAAAAAAAAAAAAAATAAAGGCCTGCAAAGTGACACTTCTGGAATCTGCGAAACTGAACCTTATGTTGGCTTTGATTTATCCATAGTTGATAGCCACACAAAATTAATTGCAACTAGATGACTTCTCAGAATAAAGCAAAAACTGACTCTTCTGCTGAAATAAAGCTGGCTGTTCTTTTTATTTAAATTAAAGCATATATAAGATTCAACTTTTCTATTAACAAATGCTGTCTAATAATTTTTAGTATGCTGTACATCGTACATAAAACAATGCTATTAAGAGTTTAATCGTCGTTTGCCCTTTTTGAGTGGCAGTGATACTGCGTAAATTATAACGAAACAGATGGACAAATTCATACAGTTTTATGAACATAAATGTACTTACATAAGCCATAGGCAGAGTAAAACTAAAATTAAAGCCAAGGTTAATTGCCACATTCTGGGGTATGGATTTTTACAAACACTTTTAGAAAATGAACTGTGAATGCAGTGTTTCGGCAATTTTACGATTTATTTATTTTCTTTTTTGTGTTAGTGACAAAGCACATTTAATTTAATTAGCTGATAACAGAGATAACTCACAGTTATCTGAAGGACGAAAAGACATGTTTCAGAGATAAAAGAATATCTATGTCGTCAACATTTTTAATTAATAACTCTTTCTTTTAAGCAATAACTCTAAGGTACGAAAGAGTTATTCTCGAAAGAATAACTCTTTCGTACCTCATACATCCTCATTCTCATGACTGGCAATTTTAGAGACAGCAGACGAATCTGAACATTTTTACTATTGCGAAGACATTTATAAAACTCATTGCAAGCGATTTTATAAATCCTCTGTATTAAGGACATCTTATTTCTAATTTCAGAGTTTTTATTTTCCATATATCAGCTTTTTATTGCTATTTAATTCAAATTAAATGCCAACAGTCAACAGACATGGCATATATCTCTGTTATGCGAGGCAGAATATTAGGAATAATATGGAGTTCAATGAATTCGCAGGAAAATTATCTATAACCCTATCCAAGTAAATATGCAAACTGAAACAGGAAGCCCCTGTCTGTAACTTCTGTCTGCTGTATTTCATCTGAAGTATGTAGAGACATTAGGTAGTTCTAAACCAGGAGACGTGAAAAATGAGCAATGCCCTCGCCGGAACTCGAACCACAGACCTCTCGAATACGCGCAGAATGTGCTGACCACTACACCACGAAGGCATGATAAGAAGGCGGGAGAAATATCTTATATACTCCCCCTTTTAAAGAGCGACTGTGGATTGGGGGACCCAATCACCAAATCCCGGTTATGGAGAATCACCACCCACTACCCTTTTTAGTTCGGGGGCCAATGTAGAGACATTAGGTTATTTTTAATACGAGAGGCGTGAAAAATGAGCAGTACCATCCCCGGGACTCGCACCACGGGACTCTCGAATGCGCGCTGAGTGTGCTAAGTACTACACCACGAAGGCATGCCAAGAAGGCGGGAGAAATACCTTATAAGTATTGCTAGCGAACTTTTATCGCTTGCATGCAAAATCTATTTCTGATGTTGACAAAAAACAATTTTTTAAATTTTGTTATATATTAAGAGTTATTGCATCCCCCGTGTGTGTTGTTATCGTGTAAGTGGCTGGCAGTGCCATCTAGGAAGAAGAATATCTATGATTCGAATCCTTGCGAGGACTCAATTGAATTATCAAGTTTCCTGGCTATATGAACTCCGAATGCTCTAATAATGCTGCTTTAATGTTGATGAGTATCTTGAATGGAACTTGAATCGGTGAAAAATGAGTTGAATGTACTTTATTGAGCCTTTTCTTCTCTGGCAGTATATTTCCTTTCCTCTCCTTTCTCTTCCTGTATTCACAACATTCACAGCATTATACTGCTTAGACTTTAGACATCGATGAACTCTAAAATTTTGATACGGCATGTGTAGAATTATTTCTGAGAAATTATGGTTTATTGTATAAGCAAACCAATCCCTTTGTTTATAAATTTCTAGTTATCCTTTGACTCAATTTTATAAACTATCACAAAGATATTTGCTGTATATATTTATCCTTTTGTGAGCAAAATTTTAGAAACGTCAAAATGTTATCATAGTTGCAAATTTTAGAAATGGTAACACAGAGAAACACAAGACGGCGATGCTCTTGTGATAGTGAGCCAAGCAAGACCAATGAAGTGATGTAAGGTTCTTTCCTCTTTCCCTCGTAAGACTGCAATTTACGCAATTCTTCGTCGGATAAATATTCACTACAATGGCAGGTGCATGAGTCGCACATAAATATATGAATGGATTGAAAAGCTGAAGACAGGCATCACTAGAATGGATATTTTATCCTAGGGCAGACAGCTAGAAGTCACAGAAAACAACATTGAAGCTGTGAAGAACGTGATATTCGAAAGCCGGAATTATGAAAAATTTTTGCAATGCTGGAAATTGGATCAGTGATCGCATAGCAAATTAAAGCAAATTGGACACAAATTGATATGCATACAAGTTTCGACGAAAAATGCAAACTTTTACATTTTGTCTGGCAATGAATGAACGGTTGTTGCTACAGCGCATCTGTGATCTGCGCAACTGGCAGGATATTTAAGAGGAGAAATTACGATTCCAGGTCATAAATTCTTCACGAATTTCATTCCGTGTACTCTAGTAGACAGTAACTATGCGTCGCATACAGGTGCGCGAACGATAAGCGCAGATGTCAGAATTTGAGAGAAGTCGTGAAGTTGGCCTCAAAGAAGCCAGTTGGTCTTATCGGCGAATAGCTCGACATTTGAGCAGGAGCGATGCCACTATTACACGTTGTTGGCAGGAATGAGTGAACCATAACCGCACACAGCGTCAAGAAGGAAGCGGTAGGCCTAGAGAAACGACAGAACGTGAAGACCGAGCAATCGTCAGAGCGGCACTCACAGCCCCAGATGCATCATTATCATCGATTGTACGTGCAACTAGTGCTTCAGTGACCGCAAGGACCATTCATAGACGGGTCACAGAAAGGGGGCCGAGGTCACGGCGCCCCTTGCGCCGACTACCATTGACCTCTGTACAACGTCAAACCCGTTTGCAGTGGTGTCGGGCTCATTCGCACTGGAATGTCACTGACTGGAGTAGAATAGTCTTCAGTGATGAGTCTCGCTTTGAACTGAGCCCCGATGACCAGCGAAGGCGAGTCTGGAGACGCCCCAGACAGCGGCGTGATACCAACCTGTCTTCCGGCAGACAGGCCGACAACCAGGAGTGATAGTCTGGGGTGCCATTTCATTTCATAGTAGGGCCCCTTTGGTTGTCATCCGTCGCAACCTTACAGCACAGCGGTACGTCGACGAAGTTCTAACGCCCGTTGTGTTGTCCTTCATGTCACGCCACCATGGGCTTACATTTCAGCAAGATAATGCCTACCCCCACACTGCACGTGTTTCTACTGCTTGCCTTAGTGCTTGCCGAATGTTACCTTGGCCAGTAAAGTCGCCGGATCTCTCTCCTATTGAGCACGTTTGGAGCATTATGGGCAGGGCCCTCCAACCAACTCGGGATGTTGAGGATCTAACGCGTCGGTTGGACAGAATTTGGCATATCCCGCAGGAGGACATCCGCAACCTCTATAAATCGATGCAAAGCCGAATAACTGCTTGCATTAGGGCCAGAGGTGGACAAACGCGTTACTGACTTTTCCATTTTGTGGAGCTCTATCACTTCAATAAATCATCTAATTTTTCTCAAACTGTAATCATTTGTTTTTCTGTATATTTACATCACTTCTACCGATTTTCGTCCCATTCGGATAACTCCTTCTTGGTGCTACTTCTTTCGTCCCATTCGGATAATTTCTTTAAATTCATAAAAAAATCAAAAATGGGTATCGAAAAAAGGTAATTTTAAAGTAACTTAAAATAATATAAAAATGCTGGACAGTCATTAAACTTTTTCGATACAATAAAACAAGTAAAAAAAAAAAAAAAATCCCGTTTCTCAGAAAAATTTATCGATTTCAGTAACTCAATAAATAAATTAACTTTCTTTCCAAAGGGAGCGTAAGGTTTGAAGTGTGAAACATAGTTCATAGAACTTTGATTAGGAGGAGTGTGATACATTGTTTGCAGTTAAAAGTATTTTTTTTTCAAAGGTAGAGAATGTTTAATGAGAAGTGCTTAGTCACTAAGTCATTTTACAAAAATCCTAAAATCGTGTTTTCAGTATGAAAACCTGCCATGTAGGCTGCATTTCGAAAAAAATTTAAAAGAGAATGCAGAACAATCCTACTGGTGTTGCTGAATTGATAGTTCCCCATAATTATACATGTCTAGATATTTATGGTTACCAGCTTTTTTTTTTGTCTAAGAATGTATATACAAGGTGGCCCATGACAAACCTAACTCAAAGCAAGCGAAGAACCCATGAACTGTAAAGTGGCGCAAACTGTAAAGTGGCGAACCAGACTTTGTAAACTTCACTTACTTTGTATTAGCTTTGTCTTGGGCCACCATATATTATTATACAGTTAACTAGCTAGATAAGTAAAAAAAAATTGAAGTTTATTTAATTATATACACTTAAAATGATGTAAAATACTGTGCAATTAACTGATGTATTTATACGAAAATAATATAGTAAAATATATTTGTGCTAGAATTATAAGCTATTTAATATAATAAAGGCCCCAAATAATAATAATAATAAAAAAAAAAACAGCAAGAAGCATAAACTTGGAAAATAAATCTGAAACAAAAAAGAATTAAGGCAAAATGATAACAATGAAATAATAAAACCGAAGGAATTATCTCCAAAATGTATTGACGAAGACGGACTTATCAGCTTTGTTCAATTATTAATTTTATTGTTTTGTTTTTGTATTCATTTGCATTTGTTTCAGTTTATGGGGCTTTTTAATTTGTGTCTTCTCCAAGTTAGATAGCTTGATACTGTTGGAAACTATAGTCTATATATTTATATTTTCTTTTATTATTATTATTTTATTATTATATCTTTTATTACTAATATGTGCAATAATATATATATATATATATATATGCAAACACAATCAAGATATACTAATTAAATTAATACTTGTGGCTAACTAACTAGCAGGAAGAATATAAACTAAAATCAAATCAAATCAAAAATACAAAATAAAAAGCAATATAGCATAAAATAATAAACATAAAACAACAAATAGTTAAAAATTCTTTGGTCTTTTTTAAGGTCTCAATAAATAAATTAACTTTCTTTCCAAAGACAGCGTAAGGTTTGAAGTGTGAAACATAAGTTCATAGAACTTTGATTAGGAGGAGTGTGATACATTGTTTGCCGTTAAAAGTACTTTTTTTAAGGTAGATTCTCTACCTTAAAAAAAAAAAAAAAAAAAAAAAAAAGAGTTTAATGAGAAGTGTCACTAAGTCATTTTACAAAAATCATAAAATCGAGTTTTCAGCGTGAAAACCTGCCATATAGGCTGCATTTCGAGAAAAATTT